ATGTTGGAGGTTTTGCCGGTTCTTCTCGATTGGAGGTTTCACTCCTCTTTTTGTTAGGCATACCTCCCCTGCCTCTTCTTACTATAACCAATCGCTGTTTTGATCAATTCGGAGCTCATATGCAGAAGTTATGGTAGTTCTTGTTTTCTTGAGTGTGGTTTTTGTCAGGGTCCCAGCGGTAGTACCGTGGTACCCAGCGGTAGTACCGCTGAGGGGTCACAAGCGGCAGTACCGCTCCGCAGCGGTAGTACCGGCGGTGAATCCGCAGCAGTACTACCGTTGGCTTACCAGGTCCCTACCGCGTCGATTCGAGGGGTCTTTTCCTGTGTCGGATTCTGTGGTACCTCGCTGCGGCAGTAGTGCGGCAGTACCGCTCCTTAGCGGCAGTACCGCCCTTCCTCCGCGGTAGTACCGCCCGATTCCCTCTTTCCCCTTACCCTTCGTTCTGCGCGGCAGTACCGCCGAAGGGTGCGGTAGTACCGCTTAACCCAGCGGTAGTACCGCTGTCTCCTACGGTACTACCGCCCCAAGGTTCATGTTTTGTTGCTCCTTTTCCCCGTTTCTTCCACCTGAGCGGTAGTACCGCTCGTGGAGCGGTAGTACCGCTCGTGTGTGGGCCGAGCACATAACGGTTGGATTTTTCCCCTCCTATAAAAGGGGGCCTTCTTCCCCATTGAACCTTATCCTTTGAGCTCGTGTTCTTCCCCATTGTTGACCTTTTTCGAGCTTGCTAACTCTCAATCCCTCCATGGTTTCTTGCTAGTTTTTGAGGGAAAAGAGAGAGGAGATCTAGATCCACATTTCCACCAATCACTTTCTCCTCTATGTGAGGGGAACCCCTTGGATCTAGATCTTGGAGTTCTTTGTGTTCTCTTTCTTGTTCTTCCTCTCATTTTCCTCCCTAGCATTAGTTGCTTCGGTGGGATTTGAGAGAGAAGGACTTGGGCACTCCGTGTGCCCTTGCCATTGCATTTGGTGCATCGGTTTGAGTTCTCCACGGTGATACGTGGAAGTTACAAGTTGAGAAGCTTATTACTCTTGGGTGCTTGGTACCCTTGAGCTTGTTCCTCTTGGGTGCTTGGGTGCCCTAGACGGTTGTTGGTGTTCGGAACTCAATCATTGTGGTGTAAAGCTCCGGGCAAGCGTCGGGGTCTCCAATTAGGTTGTGGAGATCGCCCCGAGCAATTTGACGGGTTTCGGTGACCGCCCCCAAGGGTTGCCAAAGTGTACGGGTTCGGTGACCGCCCCCAAGGGTTGCCATTTGTACGGGTTCGGTGACCGCCCTCAAGGGTCCCTTAGTGGAATCACGGCATCTTGCATTGTGCGAGGGCGTGAGGAGATTACGGTGGCCCTGGTGGCTTCTTGGGGAGCATTGTGCCTCCACACCGCTCCAAACGAAGATTAGCATCCGCAAGGGTGTGAACTTCGGGATACATCGTCGTCTCCGCGTGCCTCGGTTATCTCTTACCCGAGTTCCATTGTGCCATATTGTTTCTTGTCAAATATCTTGCTATCACCTAGTAGTTTATCTTGCTTAGCATAAGTTGTTGGTGCACATAGGTGAGCCTAGTTGTTGTAGGTTTTGTGCTTGACTAACCGCTGGGTTTATTCCGCATTTGTTCAAGCCTAAACCGTAATTATTTTAAAAGCGCCTATTCACCCCCCCCCCTCTAGGCGACATCCACGATCTTTCACCATCCGCCTTAGACGCACAGTTCAGGACCCCCTACCCGAGATCCGCCGGTTTTGACACCGACAATGGGCACAACTCCTCGAAGACCACCAGCCACTTATCATTGTTGCCACCTAGGCACCTACTGGGCAGCTCCGACTCCACGACAACATGGCGAGACCCAAAAGAGACCCATCGAGCACACCAGGAAAGAACCAGCAACCGAAGCCCTGCCACGACCTTGCACTGCTTGTAGTTTTCATCGTTGTCAAACTAGATGCCACACCACCACATTGCCGGCCGGGCACCTATTGACCACAATGTCATGAGTGTCTAGCACATGGAGAGCACAAAAGGGATCCAAAGATCTTCAAGATGGCGCGCCAAAAGGGTGAAGCAACGATGATGTCGCCAACGCCTGACCCGGTCGGGCCTTAGGCTTTCACCCGAAGATCTAGATCTAAGGTGCTTCTTGTTAATTTACTGGAGATTATGTTCATTGCCACTAGGATAAGATTTCTTTATTATACCCTGGATTGACTTAATTCACTAGGTCATGTTGGAAATATGAGCAATTTACCGAATGATTTTATTAACAGAAATACTAGATAAAGCATGACTAATATAGTAGAGATAAAACAAGTCATGCGTTTTGACAAAGAGAAGGAAAATAGCTTCTGCATATATGAACCGTAGCTTATCATATCTATAGCAGACAGTAGAACTAGTTGCATATATGAGGTAGAACTTAACTTATTTAGGGCAAGTACTAGTACGAGAAACTGTGGCAGGATATCTAACAGAAAGAAGAACACATACGGGACAGCAGCAGCAGCAGCACTGGACTTGGGGTCGGTGTCCTCGCCAGCCATGTCATCGAGGAGGTTGTCGACGTCGGGAAAGAAGTCGTCGGAGTCCGAGGCGTCCGTGACGAAAGAGTCAGTCAGTAGTCGCGCAGAGCGCTCCCCAAAAACCTTATCACCCTTCTCCCGTATAGTACTCAAAGAGGTGCGGTTTCGGAGGCCTACTGTCCCGACCTGTGGTGCACGCCGCAAGCCGGGATGAGGAAGACAGCAGCAGCTCAGAGATTAGAACCGGTGGCGAGAGGAAGGAGAAGTTCTGGTGCGTCTCTTTGAGAGGAGCGACCTCCCTTTTATAGGCGCAAGAGAAGGAGGCGAGAGGCTGCGCCGGGAGCTGAAGGGAACACGGGAGATGAAACAAACAGACAGCAGCCGAAGGGTGCAGCGCTATACAGCAAAAACTTTCCAGCTCCCGAGTGACCCTTCATATACCCGTAGTGCGTGGCAAAAATTTAGACATCGGCTCATTCCCACAACCCGCGGCGCGGCGCGGCGCTGCGGGCGGCAGAGGAGGAGCGCGCGTGAATATCCCTCTTGTTCTCATGCTCGTATAAGTGGGGAAAGAACGTCCCTTATAAGGAGGTCTAACTCCCACTAAACTAGCAATGTGGGACTAAACTTTAGTAGTATCCCTTGCCTTGCACAAATGGGCTAAGTGGGCCTTTAGGATTTATTAAGAATTTCTGAAATAATTATTGGGCTGCCCAAAATGGACTAAATTCCAGCAGGTCATGTGAGCAATACTTAGGGAAGCGCACTAACACTGTCAAAAGATCATGCTTTATCAACTAAACATAACTAGGACAAGCCGAACAAATGATTGGCATTTCTTGTTTTTCATTGATTGTGAACTGAATTGTGGTTAGGTTGATGTATTTGCAGAAAAATTCATGGCTCAGTCAAACATCATGTATGTGTAGATCAGGTATGGCTCTCAAAATGTGGTTTCTACTAACGATTTTTTGCAGCAAAATATATCTTCTTTACGTGGTGTACAAAGGATATCCCACTACCAATCCTAACTACCAAAACAACCCTAGGCCCTCTGGATACCTGGAGTTCTAGGCCAGCCCCAGACTAGTCAAATACGAAAATGCAGTTCCAAGAGAAATATCCTGACTTCCCTTCAGAGATGCCGACTTCTGTCCAGTCTAGACTGGTCCAGACCCTTCGGATTTGACTCTGGATTTTTCCATGGGTCAAAAACATAGAAGAGTAGTGAGTCTTTTTCGGTGAGAATGGATGTGACAAATCTCACAAGTTTTTTAGAGAAGCCATATTCATTGTAGGGTGCGCCTGTGGTGATGCTTGACTTGTACTGTAGATCCTATTGCACAATATTCAAGAAAAAACACAATAATGTAGATCCTCTCGGGGTTTTTTTTTTGCCTTGTAGAGGTGGCGCCTCATCTTGGAGCTGGTCACCCGAGACCAACTTAATGGAGCTCCAGGGACTTTGATATAATTTTTATTATGTTGAATGTAGTTTGTACTTCTGATGAACGTTTATAATAAATTTGGATTCCTTTCACAAAATGCTTCGCAGATCACACAATCTCCCATGAACATCACTTATCATCTGATGACCAAAAGCCTCAACAATGTACTGGTTAAATTTTTATAAAATAAGAATCTAATGAACGAAAGCCACGGCGAGTTTGTGTGATGAGATCTAGTTTCGATCCAACCTAACCTACAGATGAGCATAGATTCAACCTGATATATCTCTATACAAAAAATGTGGCACATGAAACATGGACAAATCAAAACGGCTTCCACCCACTTTCCATCCCAGGAGATGATTGGCAGGTCTTCATTCTACTCCACACGAATAAATCATTTTCCCTTAGAAAACAGAGAAAAAATGGAAGTCGTTATCGTGAGGACCTTGCCAGCCAAGCAACCTCCCCTCTACTCTGGGTCACCGGTCAATGTTGCATGACCAGCAGTATCCTACTCCTATCTGCAATGCCAAGGAAAATTCAACAGGCCAAGATACACAACCAGTACCACCCACTCCACATACACTACAGACTAACAGGTGGCCCATGAGAGCCCTGGCGCCCACCTGCCAGCCACTTGCTGCCGCATGAGGCCCGTACGCTACACGTGCGTGCGTAACTGTCAATGGAAGCCCAGATCGTTGTCGTTAAGACGGGTGCAGCGCAGGTGACCATGTGCTTCAATGTGTGAGTGGTAGCGAACCTTCCGATGCCTGCTCAGAGTTTTGAGTAGCGAACCTTCGGATGGAAGTTTGGAGCGCCATGCAGGGCTCTCCTCCCCTATAAAATGGTCGCCAAGAACCCTGCTTTTCCAAGCAGAAACATAGACACAGGATCAGCAGCCTTGGCTCTCCTCCCCTATAAAACGTCAGCTGAAGAACACTAGAACAGAGTGAGCTGAGAGAGCAGAGGAAAGAAAGGAAGAAGGGGAAAAGATAGTGCAGCATTAGCTTTAGCAGGGCAGCTATGGGATTCTGCTGTGGGCCTTCCGATGTCAAGGTGCTCCCAAATAACACCTCCTCATTGTCGTCAACGTCTTCCTCATCGTCATCACCCGCTAAAGATTCTGCCGACGGTGGCAAGAAGAAGCAACAGCAAGGTGTGAAGAAGGAGCGGGGGAGGGAGAAGAAGAAGAGCAACCTTGACCGTGCCGCCATGGCTACGCCCCGCCTCCCCTTCCATTCTCGGCCCGGTCTCATGTAATGTTAACCGGGAACAACAATGTGTGCATGAGATCCCGTATGTTCTCCTATTAGCTTACGATCAAGGTTGGAGCTTAGGTTGAATGAGATTTCTACTGTCGTCACATGTTCTATTTATTCATTGATGATTGGTTGGTTGTATTCCATGATTCAAATTGCTGGTGTTTTCTGTCAATTTACAAGGGATGAAGTTCATTGTCACTAGGATACTATTTGTTTCCCTACTTTGTTGGATTACTATTCCCTACTTGACTCGGCTTGACTCGGTTCACTAGTTTAGGCGAGCAAGACTAAGCCTACATCACCCTCAAAAAGACTAGGTCTACATCAACTAGGAGCATCTTTTTTACACCCATTGGTCAAAACCCATATACTCCCTCCGTTCGGAAAAAGTTGTCCACTGCTTAGTTCATTTACAATTTTGCAGAAAACCCCTTCTAGCTTCAAATCTCTTGCTAATCACACCCCGCTGCTTCTTCCTCCTTTCTCCGTCGCCGGCGCGCACTGTGGTCCCTCGCGCCACCGTCGGCACCCACCATAGGGCCGAGCGCGTGACAACGGCCAGGGCCTGCGCCATCGCTGTGAACCACCACCGCCCCTGCCCACCTGCGCCGCCCGAGGCGAGCTGCGTCGCCCGCACGGAGGCGAGCTGCATCGCCCGCACGGAGGCGAGCTGCGTCGCGCCGTCCACCTGCTCCTCCGCGGCGACCACCTCGACGGGCGGCGGCTCCACTGCTGAAGGGCGCTGCCCCGCCGCCATCCTCTCCCGCCCCGATCCCTTCCGCCGCCGAGGGCTGCATCGCTATCCCCTCCCGCCGCCCAGGGCTGCGCTGCTATCCCTCGCGCCGCCCAGGGCCTGCGCCGGCGCCGCACAGGACCTGCGCGCGCCTGGGTCTCGAGCGCCTGGACCTGGAGCTCCAGGCGGGCCTGGAACTCAAGCTCATCCTCAACCTCGAGCTTCTTCTGCTGCAAGTTGCTGCTCTTCCCCGGCGGGCCTGCTCGTGCTGCCACCCGGAGCTCCCCTGCTTGTGCTTCTGCCGGTGAGAAGAAGAACCCGAGCTCCAATTTCTGTACAGTGCACTTGTTCATTAATTTGAAACACAATTGATCATCTACTGTGCAGAAATGTTGCAAAAAAGTAAACTGAATGTGTTCAACTCCAATGTCAAAGAAATTAACTGAATGTTCTTGGTCTGGATAAACATGTTCTTCAGTTAACTGGACAAGACTAAATCAAAATGAATGTTCTAGATTGAGTATAAACAATTGGACAAGAAGCAGTAGGTGTACTCGAAATTCTAAACTAAATCAAACTCAATGTTATAGACTGAGTAGAAAAATTGGAGTACTGGAGTAGATCAGTTTGCAGTGAATAGGAGATGCTAAATTTGAGTGAATACTCCACTGTTTTCAGTGAGCAGTACTCCACTAAATTTGAGAAAACTACTGAATTATTGTTGTTTAGTTAATGTCAGGTTCAAAATAGACTTCAAATGTTAATGTCAGGTTCATTTTACTCTAAATTGATGCATTCAGTGTGTAGATCATCCAATAGGTGTTCGGTGTTGAAGAAAAGTAAATTTCAGTTGGTCTGTAACTTAAACTGAGATACAAAAAATTGAGTCAATACTCCTCTATTTTCAGTGAGTACTCCAGTCTCATGCAGGCACATGTCCAGTAGCAAAAAGTTTCAGAAATTTTGATGCTCACCTTCCATCTTGGCAGTACAAGAAAAACTGAGCAGCCAACTCTTGCCGCTTTGCATGCATTGCTGGCAACTCCAGTAGCTTTACAAAAAAATCGATCATGGCATCTACAGGTTACAAACAAATGAGCAAGATTCAGTTAGATAACCACTGATAGAAGCATGTGAGTGCAAAAAACTTGACAACTGAAATTCAGTTAGATAACAAGAATCTGAATTTTATGCATGAACTTTGAAACTCTGTCAGTGCACAACATTCAGTGTCAATTGAATTTCCATGATTATATGCAGCTAGGTGTTCTCTAGTTACCAAAATGAACAAGGAGTACTTTTAATATCTACTTTTCTCTTTCTTGTTTTTTTTTTGCTTTTTTGTCTAGGATTCTTCATGGTTTTTTTGTTATGATTATATGCTCACCATTCATCTTTTGTATACTCTTGTTATGAGATCAGATAGGAGCACACAATTATGGATTTGAATTTGATGCCGGAAGAGGAGGACGGAACTCAAGAAGAACAAGCTCGGCAGGGTGACGTTATTGATTTGAGTTTGATGCCGAAAGAGGAGGACGAAGCTCAAGAAGAAGAACAAGCTCAACAGGGTGACACTATTGATTTAAACTTGATGCCGGAAGATGAGGATGAAGACATTGAATTGAATTGGTTTCCTGAAGAGGAAGAAGCTCAAGAGGCACAAGAAGACGCAGAATTGGAAGAAGCTCAATATGCACAAGAAGATGCAGAAGTTCAAGAAGCTCAAGATGCACAAGAAGATGAAGAAGTGCAAGAAGCTGATGCACATGGCAATCCAAGAGGGAAGGACTTGACAGACAAGGAGAGACACGGTGTTTACTTTGCTCTGCGAGTAATCGAGCTTAGAGATGGACAGGTTCACGTGTATGACAAGGTGCTCATCGCGACTATGCTGAATGTTCACCTGCGAACAGTTACAAGAATATGGAATCTAGCCAAACGACAACTTGCAGCAGGCCAAGAAGTTGATGTTTCAAGCAAGAAGAATAAAAGTGGTAGGAAGAGAAAAGAACTAGATCTGTCGAGAACAGCCACAATCCCTTTGAACAAAAGAAGAACAATCCGTTCTCTAGCAAGGTGTTTAGGTGTGCCCCGTTCAACCCTACATGACAGATTTCAATTGCAAGAGCTAAAACGCATCACAAGCACCATCAAACCCACCCTCAAGCCACAGAACAAGATAGCGAGACTAAAGTTCTGCCTATCCATGATGGATGAAAGATGGATATCAAGTCCTTGGCCCAGTTTCAAGCCAATGACAAATATGGTCCACATCGATGAGAAATGGTATAACATGACCCGAGTGAAGAGTAGCTACTACGTACTGCCTGGAGAAGAAGAACCAAATCGAACTGTGCACAATACACATAGCATTGGGAAGGTAATGTTTCTAACAGCTGTGGCCAAACCTCGCTACAATGACGATGGGGAGATGACATTTGATGGAAAACTTGGCATTTGGCCGTTCGTGGTAGAGACCGAGGCACAACGAACAAGCCAGAACAGAGACAGGGGGACAATAGAGTTGAGGCCGGTCAAAGTTACTAGACCTGTGTGCAGAGATTACCTGATCAATAAAGTAATCCCTGCCATTCAAGACAAATGGCCTGACGGTGACGAGGACACAACGATCTTAATTCAACAAGATAATGCAACACCGCATGTCCTCCCTAATGATGCTGGTTTTCTAGAGGCCGTGGCACAGACAGATCTGGATATTCGATTATTGCAACAACCACCGAACAGCCCTGAGCTCAATGTTCTAGATCTTTGTTTCCACTGCTCCCTCCAATCCCTAACCGACTGCAGAGCGCCTATGAATATACAGGAACTGGTACAGGGTGTAGAGGAGGAGTTTGAGAACTACGATCCCCATAAGCTGTTCAAAAGCTTTATGACGTTGCAAGCAGTCATGGTGGAAGTGATGAAAGATCAAGGAGGAAACAACTACAAGATGCCGCATCTGCATAAGGGACGTCTACAGAATGCTGGAGAGGAAATAACCGGTGTATACTGCAGTCCGGAGCTAATTACTGACACCAAGGCCATTATAGAACAAGGAAATTAGTACATAGGGAAAGGAAAAAGAAAGGGACAAGGAAAAAGAAAGGGACAAGGAAAGAGAAAAGGAATAGGAAAAGAAAGGATATGAGTATGTCATGTGTATGTCTTGTGTATGTCATGTGTCATGTTAATTAAGCTAGGTTTAATTGAACTAAGTTGGAATTAGCTAGATCTTCTTCTTCTTCTTCTTCTTCTTCTTCTTCTTCTTTTTCTTCTTCTAGAAGCACAAGCAGTACAAACTCCAGTAGCTAGGCCACATTAGAGACAAATGTTCCTAAACTTGATGTTAATTTAGCCAATGTTCAGAGACAAATCAGAGTTGACAGTAAAGATCAAAATTTCAGACTTGACACATAAATAAAATTTGATTTGATCGCGATTTGAATTGAATTGAGTAGGCCAAGGGGAAATTGAAATTCCAACACAAAACTTGGAGAGCAATAACATATGTTCAGGATTGTTCACAATCAGATTCAGGGGGAATTGGCACTTGATTTGTTCACAATCAGATTCAGGGGGAATTGGCACTTGATTTGTTCACAATCAGGTTCAGGGTTGACAGATTCAGGTTCAGAGTTTGTTTCAGTTTATAGAAATGGCTACAAGTTTATAGAAACTTGGTGAACTTGAATCTAGCAGGCTGAAGCATTTTGAAACAATGACAAAAGACTTGACTGCAGTCTAGAACAATGACAAAATTACTTGCCAGATCATGAAACAAATGATAAAATTACTTGAAAAGGAGTACTCCATTTATCTACCTCTTTCATGAAAGGAGTACTCTACTAGACAGCAGCAGTAGTACACCAAGTACTGCCGGCCGCCCTCTAACTAATTCATTCATGGATGATTTTAATCACTGACTCATCCTGCTAGATCCATCACTAAAGCTAATTAGTAATGTGATTTATCTGACATTTGCTAGTTGAGAATAAATGTTCACTCTTATCTCACATTTGCTAGTTGAAATGCATAAATTCAGTTGTTTCAAGTTTCAGTCTAAGCTAGAATTTCCAGTTTACACACAGATGTTTGTCTGCCACGTTTCAAGTTTCAGTCTAAGCTAGAATAGGATGAGTTGCTGAAGAAATTAGG